GCCAACAGACACATGAAAATATGTTCAACATCACTAATCATCAGGGAAATGCAAATCAAAACCCAGTGAGGAGTGGCCAACCCAGTGGCTTAGTGGTTAAGTTTGTTCACTCCACTTTGGCAGCCTGGGGTTTGCAGGTTTGGATCCAGGCGTGGCCTTAGCACGATTAGTCAAGCCATGTTGTGGTGGCATCCCACATAAAATACAGGAAGATTGGCACAGATGTTAGCTCAGTGACAATCTTCCTGATACACACACATACAAATACCATAGTGAGGCGCCAGCCCCGTGGCATAGTGGTTAAGTTTGGCACACTCCACTGGTGGTCTGGGTTCACGGGTTTGGATCCTGGGTGTGGAACTACACCACTTGACAGCCATGCTGAGGCGGTGACCCACATATAAAGTGGAGGAGGATTTGCACAGATGTTAGTTCAGGGCTAATCTTCCTCAAGCAAGAAAAAAAAAAGAGGAAGATTAGCAACAGATGTTAGCTCAGGATCAGTATTCCTCAGGAGAAAAAAAAACTCACAGGGAGGTATCACCTCACACCTGTTAGACTGGCTATTATCAAAAACACAAGAAACAACAAGTGTTAGCAAGGATGTGGAGAAAAGGGAACCCTCAAGCAATGTTGGTGGGAATGTAAATTAGTGCAGCCACTAAGGGAAACAGTATGGAGGTTCCTCAAAAAATTAAAAAGAGAACTGCCACATGATACAACTATTCCACTGGCACAATTCTATTAAGCTCAGAGGATTGGAGCTGTAGCTTTCCACCTTGGCTTCATATTAGAATGCAAGCATCCAAAAAATAAAAGTGATGCTGACACCCCAGCCGAGAACAACTAATTCAGAACCTCTTAGTGGGGCCCAAGTGTATTTTAAATGTTTCTCAGGTCATTCTAATGTACTTCAAGTGTTGATAACCACCTGCTCGAGAAGTAATGCTGAAGGGAAAGCAAGTGAAACCTGAGTGCATTAGATCATTGGTATCTAAGAGAAATACAATCTGAGTAATTTAAAACTTTCTAACTGCTACATTATAAAAAGCAATAGGTGAAATTGACTTCAACAATACCTTTTATTTAACCCAATATAATCAAGATATTCTTCAGCAGGCAAGGAAAAAAGTTATTAATGAGATAGTTTACATTCTTTTTGGGTACTTAATCTTCAAAATCTGGTATTTTATACATATAGTATATCCCAATTCAGAATGGCTATATATTAAATGTTCAAGAGCTACATGTGCCTAGTGGCTACCATATTGAAGAGTGCAATGTATGACTTATAAAACCTTTAACTTCATTGCAAAATATTTACTTTTGAATATATCATAAAATATTTTGTGCATTAACAAATAATATAATACTTAGGTGTATTTTTAAAGAATTATATTCTTTAGATAAGTTAGGGATGTAGATTCCCTCCCTTCTTTCTTTTCCCTCTCCCTCCCTCCTTCCCTTCTTTCCTTTCTTCCTTCCTTCCTTTCTTTCTAAATGTCTATTTCTCTTACAAACGGGTACGCACTCTAAATATCTTTCCAAATATTTATGAGGTATAAGACTGCCTGGGTTTGTATAACGGCCTGACCACATTCTATCTCAGTGACTATAGGAAACCTCTCCATACCCCAGTTTTTTTAATCTGTAAAATGAGATTAATAATAGCATATATCTCATAGGGATATTATGAGGGTTAAATGAATTTATACAGGTTAACTGTTCAATCAGTATTAGGCATTATTATAATTTTAATAGCCTCATCATTTTATTAGTATTGTTTTATTTATTATTTTAATGCTTCTGTGACATTCCACACTACAAACGTAGCAAAACTTATTTTACTGGTTTCCCGCTAATGACATTTGGGTTGTTTCTAATCTTCGGCATTAAAGAATGCTACAGTGTCTATCATTGTCCATGTATCATTTCGCACATGAACCTGTATATGTAGAGGATAAATAAATGTCTAAAAGTGGAGTTTCTAGGGCAAATTTTATACGTTTTTTACATTTTAACGAATGTTGTCAAGTTGCTCTTCACAGAGGCTCTACCAATTTACCCCCAATAACAATATATGACAACGTCCATTTCTCTTTTCATAGAATGTCAACAATTTAGAGTGTTTTTTAAAATGACATCTGAAATGCAACCTGATTTCAGAAACATTTCTGTGTTTGATTGAAGATAGTATATCGAACTGACTTTGAATGAAAGAAAATCATCGACTACTTTATTTTAGAGTTTTAAAATGGAGATCTTGGTACTTTTAGAGAATTAAGAAGAAATACAATATAGGATAAAAATAAGAAGAGACATCACCACTTAATTTCTCCAATGTTTTCTCTATCTGAATGGAGAGTACTAATATTTCAATGTCTCACAATAATTAACAAGTTAATTTCACTAATTTATCATTTTAAAAAGTTTAATTATTTCTATAGACCATTTTGGATCACTTTACATTCAATTAGGAAATTAAAGTAGCGGACCTATAGTTCTATAATTTAATTTATACATTATGGTTTTATACCTAGCTCATATTATTAAAATAACTTGTCTCAAAATTGGGCTTTTTGATTACTGATCTGTGAATTCCTACAGACTATGATTATAAAGGGCTAATGATGAAGCTCCTGGGGGGCCCCTTTGTCCTAATGCTGGTGAGGCCTGTTACCCCTGGGTCAGGGCATGAGTTGTGCCAAAGGAGTGTGCTGTCCAGGGCTTCCTTCTCATTAGCAAGAACAAGAAAAAATAGGATGTCCCAGAAATTTTCTGGCAAGGCCATAGTGTGCACTCACAGTTAAGCAAATTGAATAAAGCTGACAATATAGTAGCTAGAAAGGCAAATTTTTAAAAAGATGATGATCTCGATAGATTGGGGATGACTTTTTTTTCTTTCTTTCTTTTTCCAGTTGTGGCCACTGAGGCTTTCAACACCTGCTTCCTCTCCTGGCTTTGTTACTCTCAATAAAGAAAGAGATTCCTGTTGAGGAGTGAGAGGTTAAGTGCCCAGAAATATTGCACCAAAGCATGATATTGTAAAGGAAGAAGATCAACCACAAAATAGCTTCCCTGAGGAGCTGGTGTTCAGGGAAGAGTTCATCTTGGAATTTTTCCAAATACCATCTTTAAAGGAAAAGTGAAGAGGCAAAAATACAGCACTGAGAATGAAAGCCTTCTTTGGGAGTCCTCCTTCCTTTATGATCTATATTAGCCTTAGCATCTTCTGAGCTCTTCCTGAATAGGATGGACGGTTGGATGGATGGATGGATGGACCTAAAACAATACATATAAATATGGAATAGGTATGAGCTGATGAGAAAGGAAGAGAGGGCCTAAAAACAAAAGAAAATAAGAGAAACTGTTGAGGAAACAACACCTGAAGGGAAGGATGAGGCAACCACATGACTCACTGAAAAATAAAGCACATTGTTGGTAAAATAAGTCTAGACTCTCTAATAATGGATAATGACAAAACTAACCATGTCATATGCCTCCTAGGGATAATGTGTGTGTTCATCTCCAGAATGCTATCACCAAGCTATGTTCTCTTTCTTAATATCCTCATAAATTTAGTTGAAATAAAAAGGGGGAAATTGTTAACAGACAACCCATCTACTTGTAAAAGATATATATATATAACAGAGAATGTTTATCATGACAAACGCCACTCAAAGGAAATTAAATATATTAGGCTGGATATTTTTATATTGTACATTTTAGTCTTAATTGTATCCATACTCTCTAATTCTGTATTCATTTCTGTAAGGAGTAACAAATGGGAAAATATAATATTCTTGCTATTATGTTATACAAAATATTAGTTATATATTATTTGCTTTGTCATATTATCTGTGCAGTATGTAAGCTTTATTGCCTCTTTTAACAAAAAGAAAAATCATGATTCTTTAACTTGTCTTTTACTTAAGTTTTATTATATCTGAACACCACACCTAAAATGATTTCCCTTTAAGTAAGGTTGTAGCTAAGCTCAAAAACTCTATATGAGAAAATTAACCTGATACAAAGGTTTTACGTGTGTTTACCTTTGTAAAATTAAATACCCAGATGAGGAAACAAGGAGAAAAAAGGAAATGGGTTTTACAGTTGCTATAAATCAAAAGCATACTCAACTCTGAAAAAGACAAATCCCAAAACTGTACTACTTTAGAGAATTTTCCTGTAAGCAAATAGTTGATCCATGAATTGATACTGCATTTCCACCCTGCGCTATAAAATACTGACTCTCATAACTGACATCATAAAGTGTCCTTTGTATCTAACTGGTCCTTTATCACAATCAGACATCTCTATTCTGTGTCTCATGATCACCAACAGAAAAGACAATGAAGCTAAAGAGGTCATCCAAACAAGGTGAAAAAAAAAAAGTGAAAGGTGTTTGTGTGCATTAAAATTTAGGAAAGCCAAAGCACCACCTTAGAACAGAGAGAAGTGTAGAGGATTCTGGACACTGATAGCAAAGCGCTTGTCCTCCTACTAGATAAAATAATATTGAGATAGTTATTTTTTATTTAAAGTGATTATAATCATTGGTTCAAATCAAGAAACTTAACCACCCTGGCAATGCTTTTAATAAAGTAAAGAAAAAACAAATATCAAAAATCACAGCGTGAGAAAGGACAACTCAAAACATTCATTCGAGCGTTTGCAGCTCTGAATTCTCAGCAGTAAGTACTGATTTCAAAGGTAGTGTCCCAGAGCGTGGAGCAGGCATGATGCTGGTGCCATCTGACATCTCCTTTTTTAGAGCCTTCTGCTGCTGGTATCACTTTTGTCTTGCATACCCCGCACTCAATTTCCTCATTTATAAAGAGAGGATATTAGATGGGGTGGTTTCTAGAAGCATGTTCTCAACTCTACACAACAACCTTTTGGGGTAATGATAGTGTAGGAGGAGATGTAAGCAGAGGAAAACACACCTTTGTTGACCATTTACGTACGTTAGCTTATTTCATCGCCCAAACCACACTTACACAATACAATCCTTCTCCTTTTGCCAGGTCAAGAGCTAATGCTGAGAAGCCGTGTAGCTTTCCTCACACACCTAAAGGGAACAGAGAGTTGGAAGTCAAATCAGAGATCTAAGGCCCTAAGCCTTAGCCCTTTCCGCGCCAGCATGCTGCTTAACATTTTATTTGACTTGGCCCAAAATCATCTGTGAAGATCCAATTTGAACATCTTTAGATTAACAGAAACTCCTTTTCAAAATTCTCATGTTCTCCTTCTGCTGCCATTGAGCCCTCCACCTGATCTTCTGCTTTTCTGAGACCGGTGTTTATGTAAACTATTGACTGCATATGTTTCCTCAAAGACAAATTTCTCTGTGAGAAGAGCTGAAAACACTACTTTAAGAAAGCTACAGCTTCCTTAAAGCAGGTGAATAAGTGTTTACACCTGCTCTTTCTATTCACTATTAGATAAAAATGGTACTCTGAGATTCCTGCAAATTAGAGGGAATTTTTGCAAGCCTGTATGATCCAGGCTAAGCCAGCTTATGAGTAGGAAGGGGAAAAGCTATTCCAAGAAGCACCTCTTCCAGCTGTAGTTCTGCCCCCTGACCGGGTACCGTGATGGAGCTGAGCATGAGGCTGCCACCAGCCCTCCTGACGAAGTTCTGTAAGGGAATTCATATGGACTGGAAAGATAAAACCCAGTCAGCCCTCAGGCACCATGCTAGACACTAGTGTGAACTAAAACGACTAGAACCTAGCCTTGAGGAGCTTAGAGTTCAACGCTTGATTGTCCAGTAGAGTCTCCACTAGCCTCAAGTGGCTAGTTAAATACAATTTGGTTAAAAATTTAAACAGAATTTTAAAATAAGTTCCTCAGTTGCACTAGCCATATTTCAAGGTCTCAATAGCCATCCTATTGGACAGTCCTGATTTTAAACCATTTCTAATCAATACAGAAAGTTGTGTTAAGCAGTGCTGGTGTAGACTGAAATCGACATCTAGAAGCATGGAATGAAATCAAGGTCCAGTTGTCAGAATACTGACTCCAAGCAGCATAGGAGAGGAGTCAAAGAAACGGCAGGTTTTCAGGTTTGGCAAGAGACTTGGAAACTGATGTAAATTGACAGATATGCGCATACATACTGAAGTTTGAGTGGTACCTGTGTCTATTTCTAAAATTCCATTTAATTCCACTAGTCCATCTCTTTATTATGTGCCAGTACCACACCGCTTCAATTATATATGACTTACAGTAGATTTCATCTGTTATAGTTTTTCTTTTTGTTTTTGAGCTTATTTCCTTTTTTTAAATCGAGATACAATTGACATATAACATCATATTAGTTTTAGGTGTACAACATGATTTGATATATGTATATATTGCAAAACAAATGACCACAATAAGTTTAATCAACATCCAACACTATACAGTTACAACTATTTTCTCTTGTGATAAGAACTTTTAATATCTACTCTCTTAACAACTTTCAGATATACACTACAATATTATTAACTGTAGCCACCGTGCTGTACATTGTATCCTCAGGACTTATTTATCTTATAACTGGAAGTTTGTACCTTTTGAGCACCTTCCCCCATTTCACTCAACTCCCAACCTCAGCCTCTGGTAACCACCAATCTGTTCTCTGTATCTATGAGTTCAGGTTTTTTTCAGATTTCACATATAAGTGAGATCACACAGTATTTATCTCTCTCTGTCTGACTTATCTCACTAGCATAATGTTCTCAAGGTCCAGCCATGTTATTGCAGATGGCAGGATTTCCTTCTTCTTTATGGCTGAATAATAGTCCATTGCATATAAATAGTTCACATACTTATACACACATACACACATTGTGTGTATATATATTTATATACGTAAATTTTGTATCTACATATATATGTATACATTGTGTATATACATATATATTTATACACATAAAAAATATATATTTTATCCATTTATCTGTTGATGGACACAGTTGCTTCTATGTCTTGGTTAAATACCCAGAAGTGGAATTGCTGGGTCATATGGTAGTTCTGTTTTTAATTTTTTGAGGAACCTCCATACTGTTTTTCACAGTGGTTGTACAATTTACATTCCCATCAATAGGGCCCAAGGGTTCCCCTTTCTCCACATCCTTGCCAACACTAGTTATTTCTTGTCTTTTTGAGGATAGCCATCTTAACAAATGTGAGCTGATACCTCACTGTGGTTTTGATTTGCATTTTCCTGTTGATTAGTGATGTTGAACATCTTTTCATGTACCTGTTGGCCATCTGCATGTCTTCTTTGGGAAAATGTCTATTCAGATCTTCTGCCCACTTTTTAATTGGATTGTTTGCTTTTTTTTATTATTATTATTGAGTTGTATGAGTTCTTCATATATTTTGGATATATCCCCTTATCAGATATACAATTTGCAAATATTTTCTCCCATTCGGCTGGTTGCCTTTTCATTTGGTTGATGGTTTCCTTTGCTGTGCAGAAGCTTTTTAGTTTCATGTAGTTCCACTTGTTGATTTTTAGTTTTGTTGCCTTTACTTTTGGTATCAAATCCAAAATATCATTGCCAAGATCAATGCCAAGGACTTACTACCTATGTTTTCTTCTAGGAGTTTTATGATTTCAGGTCTTACGTTCAAGTCTTTAATCAAATTTGAGTTGATTTTTTTGTTTGGTGTCAGATAGTGGTCCAGTTTCATTCTTTTGCATGCGGTTGTCCATATAGCTTTTCTTTTTAGTGTTTTCTTGGCTATTCTTGTACATTTATTTTTCTGTATGAAATTTAATATCAACTTATCTAGCTTCATAAAAATATTTGTGGATTTTTTATTGCACCTCTCATAATTTACATATTTTTAAAAATATTTTTCCATATTTTAACCTAAATTCTTTCTCAGAGTATCTTCAGTTATAACATGAATTGTGTGTTCTTTACGTAGTACGATTTTTGTAATAAATAATAAATCATTAAAACCTGCTCTCATGTCATTATGAAATAGTTATTTCAACCTCAAATTATGTAAATAACATGTACTGAGCCTATTGTGTTAAGAACATTGCACACATTCTTACCTGACAAGATCCTCACAATAAAGTACAAATTAATATCTAGTTTATAGATGAGAAATCCGAGGCATATAAAGATTATGCAACTTTTTCAGGATATTTAAGCTGGGTGTGTCTAAAATCAAAGTTCACGTATATTAAGAACGTGAAATATTGCCTCTTGTAAAAAGTAACACTTGGCGCTGGCCCGGCAGCATGGCGGTTGGATTCACGCGCCCTGTTTCGGCAGCCCGAGGTTCGTGGTTTGGATCCTGGGCATGGATGTCAAGCAAAAAGAGGAAGATTGGCACAGATGTTAGCTCAGGGCCAATCTTCCTCACCAACAACAAAAAAAAGTAACATTTGTCAGAGTCCAAATCATACCTAATTCCAAAAAGTTCATGCACTTGGTTTCACTGTGTTACACAAGCTGAAGAGAGACACAGGGATGATTTTCCTGAAAGTGATTTTAAAAGGTCAATAACCACTGTAATGAATATTATGGTCTAAAATAAAATAATATCACACAGAACTGAAGAAAGTTGGGCTCAAGCCTGGTCATTATCACTCTTAGCCAGGCACATTTTCTTGGGATGGTCAGTCCCTCTGTAACACCTTCTACTATGCAACAGGATAACATATCTACTCCACCTTTCAGAGTTATTGGGACGATAAAATGAGTGAACATGCATAATAATACATGGAGATAATAGAAATATTTAGGCCAATCAAGTCTAGAAGCCATTTCAAAAGCTGACCTGGCAAATTAACATAATAGCTTCAGATTAAAAGACAATTTAATCACAGGTCACCTCTTCTCTCCAGATCACTCTGCCTCACTTAGTACTTTTTGTTCTTTTCATACTAAGTCAAAAGGGTGCCTAGATAGTCATTTAATCTGTTTCTAAGCAACCACATTTCTTTAATTTAGAAATAGCAATACTAATATGTGCTGCCATGTAGATAATATTCATCAGAAGGTCTAACAATTTCTATTTTTTTTATGTAGAAAAGTCTACTAAGAGTATTTGGAAGGACAAATTCTTACAAAATATATGTAGCTTTCATTTTCAGTACTTCCTATTTTCATTTAGCTTTTTCTCACGGGACTTACATACTTCTGCTTCTAATATGAACGTTTGAAACACTAAGTACACTTTCGAGAGGGTCATTTCTTATTTTGCCCAAACTGCCTTATACAGCTCTAGTTTCATTTCTGAGTTAGTATTATCAGTTTTGAGGGGAAAGGTATAGTGAGTGGCTGGTGGGAAGATATTTACTTTGTTCCATAAAATAGTGTCTTCCTGATGCACAATGTATTTTATTTGACGATTTTTTAAATGATTCATTTCTCTAGAAATACAGTGTTAAAAATTCATGAGGCATTGACTTGCTTTGGTTCACTTTTGGGCACTTCTGTCTCCCTGCCTCTGTCATGACACCACCATTTTCCTGGTCATCTTAACTCATTTAACTCAGCTCTTCTTCTCACCATGTCCTCTCTGTTCCCACGGCCTGTATGAGAGAGCCACGTCCATTCTACAGAAGACAAAGATAAGGCATATAGAGATATGCAACCTCTAAAGCTCAAGGGACTTAAGTTAGGTCTGTCTAAAGTCAAAGGCCTTGCATAAGGGAGAACCACACACAAGTCACTTCCATCCTTGTCGAGGCCATTCCAGTTTAGGACTTTATTATTTGGAAATGAAGCTAGACTAGCCTCAGTGTAGCTCCTTTCTAAGTCGCTGCACATCTTTTCATAGCCCTGTACACAAATTCCCCTAGGCCACTATCCCTGCCTGGAATTTTTTTCTCTGTTCTGACTATTTATATCAGGGATTCTCACATTGACTGAATATTAAAACCACCTTTGTAGCTTTTAAACCATATAAATGATTAGGTTTCACCTCAGACCAATTAAATAAGGTTTTCTTGGCGGGGGGACCTCAGCATTCACTACTTTAATGTGCAACAAGGATTGAGAATGACAAGCTTAAATCTACACATTCTTTAAATATCAGCCTGAGCCCCACCTTCTGAATCGTATCAACACATTCAGCTCTTGTCATCCCCTGAATTCCTACTTTATAGTTCTTTATATTTCTATTACCATTTATAATAATTCCAAATTTTTTCATTCATTCCATTAGTGAGTCGTGAGTACTTACTGAATGCCTATTACCTGCAAAACCTCATCTTACATCTGTCAAAAATGTGATCCTCTCTTTAACTAATTGAAACAACCTCGAAGACATGAGTTCTGTCATATATTTTTTCTCTAACCAAAACAGATCTAATGCGGCTATAAGCTGATACTAGATCTCAAATACTTTTTGGTGAATAGTTCTAGTTTTATATTTTATTATTTTACCTGCCCAGTTTTTCAGCAAATATTTATTTGAACTGTTAATTATCTGGAAGATACTTTGATAGGGTTTTTTGTTTTAGTTTTAAAGAATAATCTTTACCTTGACTGACTACAAACATACTTATTTACTTCTTTTATGGTTTTCTGTTTTAATGTTTTGAAGTGCTTTTTACTCCTTTCCATATTGAACATGCATCCTAATAACTTAAATTTATTAAATACTTCTTATGTATCAGACATTCTTCTGAGTTCTTTGCACCTATTCATTCATTCAGTAGCCCAGCCTTGTGAGATTGTAACTTCACAGGGAGTACCCTCTGAGAGGAGAAATGACGTTGCCCAGGTTACCTGGACAGTAAGAGGCAGAGCTGGGACCTCAGCCCAGACAGCCTGGCATCACAGTCCACCACTTTGCCTTTGGCCCCACTACTGCTTAAGAAGACAGCTTTCCAGTGGAGAGAGATTTCTCCAATTCGGGGAACACAGCCATGGTTTCCTTAGATCTATTGGGTTACGTGTGGTTGCTGACTTATTGGAACAATTCTAAAGTAATTGTAAAGCTAAAAGTGGTTCTCACTCAAGTGTAGCTCATACCACTAAAATATTTTGCAGAATAAGTTCTAAGAAATCTCAATAGCCAATAGGAATAGCCTAATTGTTTTAAAGTTTTGTGACTTTAGATTATTAAAGAATATCCTACAACTGCCCCTAGATAAGGTTTGCATTCTTAAGTGGCTGGGAACAAACTTCTCCCTTCTAACTACACATTTCATGATTTTTTAGAAGAGGAAAAAAGCAAAGGTTTCAGTTACTAAGTAAACAGTCTATAAATGTACATCCTGTCAAAAGAAGCAGAAAATAAGAAACCAGAGTATTCTTAAGATTGAAGAAAGGCAGAAGATTCAAGCCTTTTTATAAATACCTCTATTCTTCTGGAGATTTTTCTTTCACTTCCCTTATATCATTTTTCTCCCTCCCATTTTTCCCTATTTTCCATAATTCATTACCTTTTCTATTTTTTTTTCTTCTATGACTTATTTCTGAATCTCTTTTGCAGCTGTGGACAAAATTCTCTTAAACATGAATCTTAAGTAAATACATTACAGAAAATTTTCAAAATAACAAACTTTTTCTTGCCCCATTAATCTGCCTTCTTTATCCATTCCATTCTGCCCCTCTCCTTGCTTTGCTTTGTGGTAAAGTCTCCATATTTCACTAACTACATATGTGAAATCACAAAGTATTTCCTTACAAGGGAAAACCAACTCTGTCTTAGGAACACCTAACTTGTTAGGAGTTAGGAATTAAGTGCTTCTTCTTCAGTGAGATGTTAATGCTGTTCAAAGCCCATCATTTACTTAATAAATTGATTATCAAGCTTCTTACCAGGCACATATTAAGAGGTAATTCTTAAAGTCTGATATTTAGACAAAATTGAGAATTAAATCAACAGTGAAAGGGAAGAGATAAGTGATATGAAAACTCTCAGACATGTCTACAAAACTATGCACCAAATGGGCATGAACATTTTGACTGAATTGTCTGTAAGGGACTAGGTGTGCCTCCTGCATCTAACTAATCCTGATCAGGAAATACTAAAATAATTCATATTGGCAAAGAAAAGTCAGAATTGCTTCTTCTTAGACCTTATGAACTGGCTGTTTAGGACAACCCTACATAAATATGGCTCATGTGTGGAAACTTCTCCTACCCAGAAACCCTACCGACGGTTTTGTACACAAGACCTAGGAAAATAGATAGTAAATAACAAGTAGGGCATTTCCTACGCTTGTGGTCAAAGCAGATGTTCATTACTAAGCTACAGACAAAGCAAGCATTCTTACCTTTCTAAATATGCGAGAAGTTCATGGTTAGTGCTTTTGTGTGTGCGTGTGTGTTATGTTATGTACGTATGAGATCAGTATAATGAATAATATTGTTACTTTTGTCCACAGTGCACAAAGCTCTTTTAAAGATAAGCCCCAAACTGTCAGGAATAAATACTTCTCCTTCACACATAAAAATGGAAATACAACTGAGAAATGAGAACTCTCAGCGAGAACTATATTCATGTATATTTACTTCTCAAATATTTACTGGGCACTTCGTATGTGATTTGCAAGACGCTGGTAGGGTCTAAAATCAAGTTATCTTGAGTTCCTCTACTCAGTGCTATGAACTGTTACAATAATAAGATTAATAAGTTTTTTTCAACATTAGCTTAATAATCTCTTTGTAGGGTGAAACTGTATTCGTATTTTATTTGTCCAAGAAAGTAATAAACTTCTATAATCTAATGGAAATTTAGAACAGCCTTGCTCACAGCTGTGAAGAGAGGAAGAAAACTAGAAAGAAATCCATAATTGATCATCTTTCACAAACAGGCATTAACATTGTTCTTTATCAACACTCACATTGCCAACTGAACACAAATTATGAAGTGAGGAAATGTCAAGACTTGTGCTTTGTCAACATACCTCAACTGTTTTAACACACGCTGTTCAAGATAAGAAAGCACACCACATTACAGAGATATATATATTCCAAATTGGTACAACAGCTTCAAACCGTCATTGTAGCTCTCCAAACCACAAACACTGCCCCCACCAAGTGGGGAGAGCAACTAAAGTATTTTAAGCAATTCTCTCGTACAATGGTTTCTTTTCTGTTGACAGTTACTCTGAGCCTCTGCCTTGGACTGAAGATGAAGGAAACTGTGAGCTGTGACCTTCGATGCCTCTCACCTGCTGACACCCATGTAACCCCTCCCAGTCAACCAGAAGAAGACTCTGAGGGGCGTGCAACTGTGCTCATGCATTGGGTCTACAAGGAGTCAGGATACAAAGGCTCACATTTCACACTTGGACTTTAATCGACATTTTAATTGTTTCAAAAGTAGGATTTAACTAAGCAAACTAGTACTTCTCAGTTTCAACCATGGCACTTGCCAAGGTAAATTACATTTAATATTCAGCATGATTTCTATAACTCCAATGACAGGAATAAATGGCTCTCTCTGTCTAAAAATGCTTCCCTTCTTTAAAGTGAATTGTCGATACCAATGATTAAAGGTGAAAATAACCAAGATTTTAAAAAATCCCAAAGTTTATGGTACAGTGAGGGACAGAGCATAATTTTTTTCTCCCCAAAGCCACAGTACATAGCTGTATATCCTAGTTATAAGTCATTCCGGCTCTTGTATGTGGGATGCTGCAACAGCGTGACTTGATCAGCGATGCTAGGTCCGTGCCCAGGATCCAAACCGGCAAACCCCAGGCCGCCAAAGCTGAGCCTGCAAACCTAACCACTTGGCCAAGGGGCTGGCCCCCAGAGCACAATTTTGAGGTCAGGATAACCCCAGTTTGGATCCAACTTAGGACCCGTGTGCCCTTAGACAATTTACCTAATATCTCTGAGATTCAATTTCTTTGCCAATAAAATTGGGAGAAGAGATATCCATCTCATACATTTCATGTGGGGTTTAAGCAAGATCAAATGTCTGGTATACCACGGACATGCATATTAATTCTCTTCCAGAGTGTGGAAAAAACCCCCAAAGTTCACAAGCTTTATTTGTCTTTCAACAACTTTTCTACTGTTCTTGAGAGAAATTACTAAATTTAAATTATAACATTTCTGAGGCAATTTGGGGGGGGCTCTTTGCTTTCATAAATACCACATACGGTGGTCTCAGGGTGTTTAAACAGCAATTGTAGAAGTAGGAGTAATTTAAGTCCAAACAACCACTTAAATTCTATTATTCAAAGTTCTGTGGTAAAATGAAAAAAGAAAGTTACATACTAAGTATAGTTATTGTCCTTTAAAACCCTATTTTCCCTTATAGCATAAGCCTTCACTTACAGCCAGCAAAGCGTAGTGTGTTTTCCCTGAGTTTCGTGACAAAGAATCTAAAATTCATCATCACCACCCAAACAGAAACTAAATTTTTTTTAACTTAAAGTCTAGAAGACAGTGAAAAACATCCTGTAGTAATAAAGAGCAGGCCCCAAACTTTTGGTGGAAGAAGCAAGCTTAAACTTCAGTCTGTGAAGATCCACAGCTAAATAAACTCACAAAGTTACATTGTTAATGGGGGCAATTGATATGGAGACTCAGATCTCTAGCTTTGACAGAGGCTTCAAAGAATTGCAAAAGTCAGACAGACTTACCACAAAAACCAGTCTGTAACTAGGGCTAACCGAATAATATTACAGCAGCCGTGGAGTCAAAGATAACAAGGGGTCATTTCTGTGTCCCGTAAAGAGAACGGCTGCTGCTTGATGCCAGCTTTCCCATTATTGCCCGCTGTTTGGGGGCTCCGCAGACATGGCCCAAGGAGGAGGGCAGGTAAGACGTGACCCTGACTCTTGGATACGCAGAGTGATAACCGGAAGCTGAGACTCCAGGTCCCTGGATGTCTTGGAACCAGGGTACCAAGGGTTGAGTAATCTTTTCTGTGCCCTTGACTTCAAATCAGTAAAGGAAACCTACTCAGATGTGGCTGCCAGTCCTTTCCGAACTGGCATGTGGACTCCAGAGTAATTCTGAATCCCGATTCTGCCACTTAGCTGTCTGGCCCAGGGTAAGCTACTTAACTTCCTCATCGAAATGGGGCATTACACTAGTTCCTACCGTAAGGGTTGCCAGGATGGTGAACTGAGTTAATATTCATAAAGGACTTGGAACACTGGCTGAACTGCAGGAGGCTCTTTCACTGAGTTTCTTAAATAAAAATAATACACCTCCCATGTATAGCACCAAGACATTCAGAAAAATAATCTCAGGTGTATGCCAAAATTTTAGTCTTCAACTAGACAAGAAACCAGACAACCACATTTTTTGAGGGGCTTCTTTGGTGCTTTTTTTTCTTTTTGTGAGAAAGATTGGCCCTGAGCTAACAATTGTTGCCAATCTTCCTCTTTTTGCTTGAGGAAGATTGTTGCTGAGCTAACGTCTGCACCAGTCTTCCTCTGTTTTATGTGGGATGTCGCCACAGCATGGTTTGACCAGCAGCACTAGGTCTGTGCCTGGGATCCAAATCTACAAACCCCAGGCCGCCAAAGCAGAGCATATGAACTTAATCACTACACCACCAGGCTGACCCCAGACAACCACATTTTTTAATGATTAAGAAATTATGCTACTTATTTCAATAAAAGTATTAATTAAATATCTAACTGTATATATAAATAGTATATATTTAAATAAAACACATAAATATATAAAACATATACTATACACTGCTTATTATCTATTTTACTTACTATACTAATGTACAGGGCTCTACTTTTCTTTTTAGGTGAGGAAGATTGGCCCTGAGCTAACATCTGTGCCAATCTTCCTTTATTTCGTATGTGGGACGCCACCACAGCATGGCTTGATAAGCAGTGCTTAGGTCTGTGCCCAGGATCTGAACCTGCGAAACCCAGGCCATCAAGGCAGAGTGTTCAAACTTAACCACTAACATTATCAGGCTAGTACAAGGCTCTACTTTTAGGGTGATCAATTTAAAGATCAGATTAAAGTAGTGTTTACTCTGTGTGTGTAGAAATGTATATGAAAATAGAATGTTTTGTGTAGCTCATAACATTTCTATCCTACAATTAATTAGGGGTTATGATTGACTCTTGTCAACACATCATCTATATGGCATTATCTTCAAATAATAAAAAGTCTGATTTTAGAAAGTTAGCTATGCAGAGTCATTGATTAAACAACTTATATATAAAGAAACAAAATTATGATGTAGTCTTAACTTGAAATACTCCATTTGTGGTCTTCAAATTTTTCTTTCCATTTTGCTTTTGTGACAAGGTGTAGTTCCTTCATTAATTAAAAATATTGTAAGAAGGTGATTTCCAATAAAACATAGGACATAAGGACTCTCATAATTTACATTAGAACTTTGACTATGTCTTCTACATGTAAACTTCAAAATTCTTCACTCCTGTTTGTAATTAGGAGTACTGCAGAGCTGACAAGTGGCTCCAATCTTTCTCCTCTGTGAAAGAGGTCTTGTTTCTGTTGATGGACTTTCTGGTGCATATTTGAACATATATATTTAAAGCATTATGGGGTATTTTTTATTTGTGCTTTTTAATTTTATATTTGAAATTAGACTATTCCTAGAAAGAGAAATATATGCAGTCATAATTTAATAACCAATTGAACAACAAAAACAAAATATCAAATCAATGATTATTTTACTCAAAACCATAGCAAATAACAGTTTAAATGCTTATTCACTTTTTTTTATAATGAATTCTTTTTTTTTTTAAAGATAGGCCCTGAGCTAGCATCTGTTGCCAATCTTTTTTCTTCTTCTTCTTCTTCTCCCCAAAGCCCCCTGGTACATAGTTGTATATCTTAGTTGTGGGTCCTTCTAGTTGTGGCATGTGGGATGCCGCCTCAGCGTGGCCTGATGAGCAGTGACTTCTCCGCACCCAGGATCCAAACTGACGAAACCCTGGGCTGCTGAAGCAGAGTGTGGGATCTTAACCACTCAGCCATGGGGCTGGCCCCTGATTATTCACGTTTTACTCATTGAATTTATCAAATAGTTGATTGAACAGACCAAACCAACATCTGCTTTTTATAATATATAAAGCTACATGCCTCAAAAGCAATAGCTTTTCCTATGACTTATGGTCAGATTTACAGAAGTGAAAAGCACTGAAGAATTATATTCTCATGTTGGTGCTGAATGAAATCAACCAACCCAGTGGTCTGACATCTTTCCTATGGATTAGAGGCAGCATACTGCTATCTTATTCTCACCTTTAATCAATTTTAGTTTTAGTTTCCTTCAGAGTGGGAGCCATACTTGATTCACCTTTCAATCTTCTATGAGTATTCATCATATATTTTGTACAAATAGCAGTATATTAACTCAAATGGGGCAAGTTGAGAGGCTATACGTTCAGCTTACTATAGAAGATACTGAACAACACAGATGTGTTTAAGTTATAATCATGCTATTTGAGCTATATGTACATGGTATTGAACATCTTTTTTTCAATACTGAAAAGAAATAATCACATTTAGAAAAGCAATATTTTCTTACATGGAGCTACAAATTCTACTTTCAAAAAATTTTCAGTGTTATTTTTCTATTTCCTCCAATAAGAAGTGCTTCTTGGGAATTCTTGGGTAGAGAACATTATTCCTTAAATATACATACACACACATATATGCATAATTAGTGTCCTACCTATTTCCCTCTTGGGCTGGCATTTCTTGCATAAGCTGAAAATGATTCTCCAGCTATCAAAACAGTCCAGTATTGGATATGAACTTGAGTTAAAATCCAAGCTCTCAAAGGTGTGTTTTGGGATCCATCAATAGTTGCTTGACTTCACAGTTGCGATGAAGGATCACTAATGGGTACTGTGTACACGTTGCTTATATACAGTTTTAGCCATATGCAGGGATGGGACTTTGACTCCTAGATTAGTCATTCACAGCGAAAGACCAATACCAAACTTTTGTTTAAAACCAAGGCATAGGATACAGTCTGCTTTAGTATAATAAATATCATAATAATGATGGCTCCATTATGAGGACATCCCTAAAAAATTGTACATAAATGGTATTTTCAATAATTAAAAAACTGTTGCAGGAATCCAGGAAAAGTTGGTTGAGGGTCTGATTTATTGTAATGGTATTGAGATTGGAGAGAAGCAAAGAGTTTTGAGACACAGTTAAGCAATAGAATTGGCAGTTCATTGCCAGTTGCTGGCTCATTGAATGTGGGAAAGAGGGAGGAATCAGGATGATGATTAGATTTAATGTTTGACTGCATGGGTGAATAGTAGTATTATTTACTGAGACCAGGAGCACAGGAAGAGAAGCAGATTTGGAGCCTGGAAGGAAGATTTAGAAGATGCATATTGTTTGGGATGTGTTTGAGGTGTTCACGGGACATCCAAATGAGGACAGCCAGAGGGCAGCATGTCTTTGATATGCTAAGGAGCTAGACTGGGAGTCAAGATTTTGGAAGTCTTAGAACACAGTCAATCGTTGAAGCCACAAGTGTGTATAAGATCACTCCAGAAGATAATGTAGAGTAAGAACAGGAAAACCATAGGAAAATGGTTCTCTATACCATTAAACTGGTCACTAAGAGATGTTGCCTTATGAAAATATATTCTATGATAGCATTAAGTGATGTTCGTTAAGAACAATGTAAAGCTGGCAAGGCTGTAAATTAATTTTGCTTTCTAACTCCTTTAACTTCCTTTTGCTGCACAGTGTGGTTTCCTCAAGTTACCGCACATGTAACTCCCTGGCTGTTGAGGCCAGTCAGTTTCACTTTATGCCACACAAACAAACATGTGGCATGAGGTTAAATCCTCCTAACCACACATCTTGTTATTTACTTGTGTGTTAGAAAATGTAGACCTGCACAACCAAGTAATTCAATTGGAATTTTTAAAACTTCTAATTTCTCATTGGTAAAATTACCTGTGGAAATGATTGATATCATGCACATTTCACAATTGCCCGTTTTTTAACTTCCTCTCCAAACAGTTTTTCTGCATCAGCCAAGGAGAAAAAAAATAACTGACTTGAGTTTTTGCTTTCTGTCTAACCTTTGGTGACCAAGACCTTTAAGAGAATTCAAGACCTCGCTAACCACAGATGTTTATCTCTGTTCTTTGTCTGGTCCTATGAGTTACAAGGACATTCTGCAATCTTTAAATTCTACATTGAACTTTACCAAAGAAGCAGGATTCCAAACATGTCTTGAGGATTAAATGTTAAACTAAACCAATATTCCACAAACAAAATAATCCCGTGCCATACATATTATTATATGCAATTCTTAAACTATTTTCTGAAACCATTAACATTATAATGGTTGCTTATACCATTATGAGATTGGTCAATTTTCTTTTGGCAAAATATTTTAATAGTTCATAAAATCCAAGTTGTCTCATAATATCTAATGCATCAACTATTCCTAACCCTTGTGATTGAAGCCAGGGTTCCCAGTTAATTTTTTAATCAATTACCTCTTAAGCCTGGTCACCTTATGAAAACACCTAATCTCTATCAGCTTCACATACACAGAATTAATCTTCACTTATGTTTTCATACATTGTAAAGTTGCCTGTCGGAAAGCCATTGAATCCTCCTTCTCAGTTACCATATTATTAAGTTCTATTACTTAAAATATGTCTATTACAAAGCCAGATTGTCTCTGAAAAAAGGCTATAACGAGGGCATAATGCTTACTATGATGGCATGGATATAACTCACTTCTGTGATCTTTGGTGTCTTAAGGTATTTTTGACTTGCCCTGGGTCTAAAAAGAAACAACGTGCATTCTCAGAATATTTAAGGCAGGAACAGACTCTGAAAGTCTGAGGTTACTGTAGAATTAAGAAACCATGTAAGGTTGGACACTTTTGAAGTGTTTTCCTGGCTGTATTTCCAATAAAGCGTAAGGCTAGGTGGAAAATTTTAGGATTTGTGATTTTTTTAATAGAGTAATATTCATACTCAGAAGAGTGGTAGGGAAATACCTCGGTTTGATCCCAAAAAGAATCTAATTCCTTCTTCATGATCAAGCGAAGTATTTTTGCCTAGAATGAAAACAAGAGAAAAGCATGTTACCTATCCCCCATGTACTCGGACTGGTTTAACCTGTCTTCATCAGCATCACTTTACTGTGATGGAATGATACGTGACTGGCTGAACAATGATCAGGACTGCGAGGGGATCTGACGGTCCAGTATTTCCAATCAGGCCAGGGGGCTCAGTATTTCTTCATATTCTATTCAGTCCAAATTAAAGGAAATGTTTTCTTCTCTGTCCTATGTGTAAAATAATAAAAATTATTTTAGCATATTTACTTTTTATTCACTTTAATCTCAAATATTGATGGGCTAATCTGTTATAAATATTCAGCCTCT